CTGGGACTACAGGCATGCACCACTATGCCCGGCTAATTTTTTCTATATATTTTTAGTTGTCCAATTAATTTCTTTCTATTTTTTTTAGTAGAGACAGGGTCTCGCTCTTGCTCAGGCTGGTTTCGAACTCCTGAGCTCAAACAATCCGCCCGCCTCAGCCTCCCAGAGAGCTAGGATTACAGGCGTGAGCCACCGCACCCGGCCTGACATCTTGATCTTGGACTTCTAGCCTCTGGGATTGTGAGACAATAAATTTCTGTTGTATAAGCCACCTAGTCTGTCATATTTTGTTACAGTAGCCCTTGCAAACTAATACAGTAGGGTGAGGAGAAATGAGATCCCTGTGTAAAAATCACTGATAATAAAAGTTTTACTAAAGAGTATGTTTCATATTTGAAAATATATGCTAAAAGGAATACGCTGTGTCCATCCTAAATCTCCCATTATTATATTTGATATGTATAAGTATAGGCTCTAGACCTTTCCAAACTCTGCACATTACCCTATGTTACTGTCCTTGGTGTGTTGCCCCAGTTCTTGGGGGAAAACTATCAATCTTAAGGTCTCCTCTTATATACAGTCAAGATGGTGGTTCAAACAGATATCCAAGTAGCACAGAGAGGTTAAAGCCTTTTAGGCCTATTTTGTAGCACTATGGCATGATTAATAATTGTGGTATATATTTCTATCCACTTGAAGGCATAAAATAGTACCTTTCTGACTAAAGATATAATATTAGGCTAACTTTATTTAAAAAAATCAATTTTTAATGTAAATTAAATCATCAACCAACTAAAATGTTAGAGTATAGTTATATAAGATCTTTTTTTATTTTAAATTTTTTTTTCTTAAGGCTGGTCAAGTGAAGCAGTGGGAGGGGAGAAGGAACAAAGGAATCTGTAACTGGTTGTGATCAAATAGTTGTAAACACCACTGCACTCGGACCAACCTACAAGATCTAAATTTGGCTCTACCAGAGGGCTAGACACACATTTTTATAAAACCCTGCCACACTAACAGGTCAGCCTTATGAGTTTCTAAGGTAGAATAGTACCAGACCTTTCATATCTTCTCATTTTGCATTTCAAATAAAGTCTTTTAACAACTTGACCTTCTACTAGTTGATATATAAAAACTGGTAAGTACAGTGGCCAATACTAGCTAAGAACTATAGTCCTATAGAACTGGAAGGCATCATAAGAGATCATTTAGGTCAGCAGTTTTAAATAAGTTTTCTTTTTAAGAGAATTCTTTTTTTCCAAGCAAATCTAAAATAAAACCCCAATAAAAATAAAGCAGATGAATATGGAGTTTCTCTGTTGTGAAGTGTGGGAAGAGTTGGGGAGTTGGGCAGTGCTCCGCTGTTCAGGCCTCCCTTCTCCTGCCCTTGTTAGTCCGCTGCAGAGCATCTTCTTGAGATCAACATGAAAACTGAAACTATTGAAATAGCACAACCCTTTATTTTATACATGGGCAAAGTAAGGCATAAAGAAGTGAAATGTCTTGCCCAAGAGTACATTGTTCATTAGCATCTGAACTGAGACTGCAACATAATTCTCAGAATTTTGAGACTCTATCCTTTTTTCAGTAAACAATTCTGTCCAGCCTGTTAAAAGTATACATGAAAATACATGACTATCTAATTATGTTAAAACATAATTTATTCATGTGATTTAAAAAGACAACTACATTTTCAACAGGTAACTCTAGCATCACTGAGATAAATTTCACTTAAACTTTAGCCATACCAGTGCTTCCAACTCAAGATGAAGACTCTTCTTTTTAGAATTTAACCTGACAATTTCTTCTTGTTCTCTGTTCTTTTGATTGAGAAGTTCCTGTCGACGAATTCTTTCCCATTCTAAACGACGTTGTCGTTCAAGTTCCTGTTTTGCTGCCTGCAAATAATGAATGAATTTTTAAATTAAAATTTTTGCATCAGTGCCAGACATGATGGCTCACACCTGTGATACCAGTGACTCAGGAGGTTGAGGTGGGAGGATCGCTTGAGACCAGGAGTTCCAGATCAGCTTGGACAACATGGCAAGACCCTGTCTCTAAAAAAAGTTTTTAAAAATTAGCGAGCCATGGTGGCACACGCTTGTAGTGTCAGCTCTTCAGGAGGCTGAAGCAGGAGGACTGCTTGAGCCCAGGAGTTGGAGGCTGCAGTGAGCTATGATACCACTGCACTGCAGCCTGGGCGACAGAGTGAGACCCCTTCTCTTAAAAAAAAAAAAAAAAAAAAAAACCCGCATCATTCAAAAACTGGTGGGAAGACAAAAATAAAGGTGAGGCAGCATTTAGCACTTAGTGGCTATAGTGCCTAAGGTAGCTGTGCAAATCTAGTTTTAACAATGGGTCTAAAGTCTTCCACAAAAGTGGCTTTGTCTATCAGATTTTCTGATTTCTTCAGAAGAACATCCTTTTGTTACAGCCACTTTTCTCTTAATAAGCAAACGGATGACTTCATAAATATAAATGTTAACAGGAATAATTACACCTCTGTTCTGATATCAGGGAAGAAAAAAATTATATTTACATTATTTCAGTGCACAATACTCCATCCCTGGCCCTTTAAAATGCAGCCAGTCCTCCCAGGGACCCCACTTACACAACACTATCCCAAGGACCTGTGCAAGACCATCCTCTTGATTCCTCTCTAGACTTTCAACTCCCTGCTCTGATCTTTCTGCCTTTCCAACTCCTTAGACTCTTAATCTGGATCCTAAGCTTGCTTTTGTTTAATGCCTTGCTCAGCTGGCGGACTAATCTTCACTCCTCATTCGATGCTGCTTTGCAGTCTATCCTCCTTTGACTTAGATATCCCCTGCAGAGATGCTTTCTCTACCACTTACCAGCCCTGAAAATCCCTTATATCCAAGGACCCTCTTTCCCTCTTCAAGGGAAGGAAGACTCAGGTTTGTGTAGGATAAGAAAGAATGAAATGATGCAGAGGAAAAGGCACAATAAAAATTAAAAAATAAGCGTTTTTTATCAAATGAAATAGTCACTTATTAAATGCAATGATTTTCTTAGGAAATAACTTAAAAATAACCTCTCGTCTTTCTATCTCTTTTCTCCTTTCTTCCTCTCGCTGTCGCTCCAATTCCCTCTGTTTCTCCAAGCGTTTTTCTAATTCAAGTTGTTTCTTCCATTCTTGTTCTTGTAATTCTCTCTGTTTTCGTTCCCACTCTTCCTTTTCTTTCTGGGCTTTACGTTCTGCCTCCCTCTGCTGCTGCTCCATCAAGGCCTGGCGTCGCTTCTCCAGTTCCATGTTCCCTCGCTCGTAGTTGGCTTTCCGCTTGTCCTCAAAAGTAACTACACAAAGTACATCGTAAGCATTCTCACACATTAAGAGCCTATAGAACCTGTAATCTAGTTTCAGCATACTTATGTCCTGTGATCATTTGAGTGCTATTTCTATTTGGATATTTCTCCTAAGGATAACTTTAACTCAAATATAAATGGGAAAATATTTACTGTCTTCTGAGAGTATTCGTTTTTAGAAAACCAAATTTATAAGTTTGAATCCACCCAAGAGAGAAATAATTTTAGTATCTTTGCCAATAAAAATACTTGATTTCAATTTTTTTCTCAGAGTTTTCTGTGAGGATAACCAAAGCTGTGTAGCTATATATTTGTTTTATTTGATAAATGTCATTTAATTTACTTTTTTTTTTATTTCAGCATATTATGGGGGTTAATTTACTTTTTAATACATTAAAACAGCTACAAATGTACTTTTTCAACCAATATTTAAACTTTTTTAAAGCTAAAGATATTATCACAAATCTTGCTTGAATAATCTCACCTAAAATAGGAGAAATACTTCAACCTGGATGTGTACAAGCCTGTCAAATACACACACTGTCTCTTCTTCCTTCATACTCTTCTTCTCATTTTGACCATCTTAATTTTATTGATGTTGAAACCCATCCCATCCATCAAATTGTTTTTTCCTATAGCATATAAAATCTTAAGAATGTAAAAATTCTAAATATTCGGTTACATTTAAAGGCAGAATTTTTGAAGACTTAGATATAACTTAGACACTTGATACTACCTGGTAATTTCTTCTGAGGTTCCTCTTCTTGTATTTTCTGATAAGAAGGCAGAGTTCCATTAATGGAATCAATTTGTTTTCCTGCTCTAAAAAAAACATCATACAACACACAAATATAGCATCATACAGCATGAAAATTTTCAGTCTGAAAATAGACTACCGATGATTAAAGTAATTTAATATTGAGAATATGGTATTAAAGATATTTAAAACACAGTATGGTCTGTAGTTATAATATACAGCAGTATATGAATGTTCAAGCCAGAAATGGATTAAATCATGGTTCAGCTAATTGTTATTCTTGGGCAAGTTTTTCTTAATCTCTTTAGTCATAAGTTTCCTTAATCGTAACATGGTGAAAACACATCTACTTCCAGTATACTCCTTTCGTGTAACTCATTGAATACTAAAATCAAATGACAGTGCAAATATTTAACTCACTTCTAAACTAAAGCACAGCTCCCAGCAAATCCCAAAGGAAAATCATATCTGCCAAGCTATCAAAACCACGGCTCTTCACCTCCAGAGGCACTCACCGAAAAGATGGAGGGACAAGTTCAGGAGGTAAAGTCAGCGGTAATGGCTGTCCAGCTTTGGCCATGTCAGTGAGGTGCATTGCAAGGATAAACTCTTCTGCTTTTAGCTGTCCATCACCATCAATGTCAGCCAGAGTCCTAAAGAAAATGTTAAAATTCACAACTTAGAAAGAGTAAAATATTGTCTGAAGAGTTCAATTTCTTATTAATTTTTTTTTTTTTAGGAGACAGACTCTCACTCTGTTACCCAGGCTAGAGGGCAGTGGTGTCAGCCTAGCTCATCTCAACCTCAAACTCCTGGGCTCAAGCAATCCTCCTGCTTCAGCCTCTCAAGTAGCTAGGACTACAGGCGTGTGCCATGACACCCGGCTAACTTTTCTACTTTCAGCAGAGACAGGGTCTCACTCTCACTTAGGCTGTTCTCAAACTCCTGATCTCCAGTGATCCTCCCACCTTGGCCTCCCAGAGTGCTAGGATTACATGCGTGAGCCACCGCGCCCAGCCCGATTTCTTATTTTTAAAAGAAGAAAAATGATGCTAAAATTGTTGGATAAACTTATTTTGGTGAAATGTAAATGTATACATATTTACATTTAATAGTGAGTTAATTTTTACCCTTAATTTTCATAACACAAAAGAGAGGGAAGAAACTTTGAAATAGAAAGGAAAATATCCCTTCTGAGAAAGTGGCTTGTCTTAGTTCATGGTTAATTCATCTATCAAATCACATTTATCTATATATTAAAAATGAGATATTCTCTGATCCTCTATAGAAGGCATTAGGTAAAAGCACACAACAGTTTTACTTACAAAATACAGTCATGCACTACATAATGATGTTTCAATGGACCACATATATGATGGTGGTCCCTTAAGATTATTAACGGAGCTGAAAAATTCCTGTTGTCTAGTGCCATGGTAGCTGTCATAACACAAAACATTATTTATATGTTTGTGGTGATGCTGGTATATACAAATCTACTACATTGCCAGTTGTATAAAAGTATAGCACATACAATTATGTGCAGTACATAATACTTGACAATGAAAATGAACAGCTATGTTGCTGGTTTATGGATTTACTGTATTATACTTTTTATTGTAAGAGTGTACACTCCTACTTACGAAAAAAAAGTTAACTGTAAAACAGCTTCAGGCGGTTCCTCTAGGAGATATTCTAGAAGGCATTATTATCATAGCATATGACAGCTCCGTGCATATTAATGTCCCTGAAAACCTTCTTGTGGGCCAAGATGTGGAGGTGGAAGATAGTGATACTGATGATCCTGACCCTGTGTAGGCCTAGGCTAATGTGTGTGTTTGTGTCTTAGTTTTTAACAAAAAGTTTAAAAAGTAAAAAATAAATTTAAAAAATAGAAAAAATATTATAGAATAAGGATATAAAGAAAGAAAATATCTTTGTACTGCTGTACAATGTGTTTTAAGCTCAGAGTCAAGAAGCTTTAAAAACATTTTAAAAGTTACAGCAAACTCAGGTTAATTTATTATTGAAGAAAAAACATTTTTACAAATTGAGTGTAGCCTAAGTATGTACAACTATGTTTTGCACAGTTATATTTGCTTTCAAGGTTAACAAACTGGCTGCTTTTATGGAGTATGTTTGCGTCACAACCTTTCACAGAAACTGTATCTTTCTTATGTAACAGAGGATGTATAGTTAAAACTCATAATTAATGGATAAACTCACCAAATAGTAGCTAGCTGAGTTTGAGAAAGATTTGACTGAAGAAGAGCATTTCTAGCTTGAAAACCTAATTGAGTGGGGAAAACCATAAAGAAAAAATTATTTAGCCTCTTTAAAGTCATGCAAACCTAAATAGCTATACCTATAAAATAACATTGTTGCTATCCTGGAAACTTTTAACATTAAAACATTTTTTACCATGTATTAGGTACTGAGCATTCAACAGTAATCAAACTAATCCCTGCGCCAAAGAATTTAAAATTTAGAATTAGTGAAATCAAGCGCTCCCGCATGTCTTTTTGGCACGATAATAGAACACATGAGTGGCTGACACAGGAAGGAGACAACAGGCATAGAGAGTATTAGAGGACAAACTCTCAGGCCTTCTTGCACTCCCATCAGGTGCCGCACCTCTCACTCCTAGGTGACTGAGCCGTGGGTACCAGAAGGGTCAGCCCCTACTCTGGGTTCAGCCTGAGCCAAGGCCCATTCAAAAACAACTCTGCATGCAAGAAATTACATCTGCCACCTTTTCCTCAGCAACAGCACCTACTAGAAAGCCAGCACAAACACAGCTAAATACAGTTTGTTCCACTGAGCTTTTAACACAGAGGACTTGATAATCAAGGATACTATGTATCATAACATACAGTTGAATGTCTATATTATATAACTTTTAAACTTTTTTCATTTTATTTTTTTAATCTGGCCATTTAATAGAAATCACTTAAAGAAAAATACTGGAAATATCTTATAGGCCTCACCCTACTAATGATTTCACACAGGAAGTGAGATTTGAAAAGGTCTTTGTGTTAAAAGGAGGATTCTTCTGATAAAGAGAAATGAAAGGCTATTTCAAACCTGAAAAAAGGTTTAAAACTAGTATTTCAGTTCTTGGACAAAGATGACTGAAAAGAAGATCCCTCAGCATTAGGCAATAGAGCAAACAGGAGAAAGAAAGAATATTAATGGTTAAAAAGCATACTGGTGGAGGGCTTTGCATGTGTGTAGGCAAAATATGAATAATACAAAGGGCCACAGAGAGCCAGCAGAGTACTTTACTGAGAAAAGCTCATTTGAACATGCACATTCTTAGTCTGCCAAACCTTTGGATACCCAACATCCTCTGCCTAGAATGCCAGTGCCCCCATTCTCTACCTGGCAGTGTATGTATCCTCTAAGATCCAGCTCAAATGTCATCTCTTGTGAAATCTTCTCTCTTATATCCTCAGAGTTAGTCACTTTCTCATCTATATTAATCATAGCACCTTTAAACAACTAATCCAATACTGTGATTATGTGAACTATATACTATGGGCTCTTTGATGGTATGAAGCATATCTTCTTCCTCTCTGTATTCCAGTGCCTAAGAGAATGCCCAGAAGATATGTGACTTGGGAAATATCTGAGTCAATGAATTAATCTAAATAAACAAAACACTCTGGGTTTAGGGGGAAGAGGAGGAACAAAAAGAAAAAAAACAGACCACCAAATGCTACATTCAGTGAACAAAGCATAAACACGTTAAGTCCAGTTCAGCCCCATGCTCATATATTTGGGGCTCATGCTCAGTTTCAGGGCATTAGCAATAACTACTCTTTTGAAAGAAAACCGTGCCCTTACATACAGATATATAGCTTTATTCTTGTAGGTCTCAGAATAACAACACTCTCTGAAAACAACACAATACACAACCTTCACACAATGTGGCACATACAGGTAAAGTAACATTAGGAATCATTTGCCATTTGCTCACAGCTGGTTCTCATTCAATGTTCTTCATACCCCAACACAAAATCACCTCTGTTTACATTGTTAGTACATACATGAAGTATGCTAATCTTAAATGTTCTGCCTAAAGAACTTTTACGCAGGTATGCGCACATGCACCCAACACCCATATCAAGATACAGAAATGTTCCCAGCTCCTCAGAAGGTTTGCACATGGCCCCTTCTCAATAGAGTAACTACACTATTCTGATTTCTATCACTATTAATTTGTGCTAGGCTTCTTTCATTCAGTATAATATCTGTGAAATTCATCCATATTGTTGTATGTATCAGCAGTTCATTCATTTTTATTGCTTTAAATATTCTGTTATATAAACATACCATAATTTATTTATCCATTCTCCTGTTGATGGACATTTAGGCTGTGAACACTTTTATACATGTTTTAATTCACTTTTGTTAAGTTGAAAAAAGAACTTCTTTTTTTTTTTTTTTTAAAGAGATGGGGTCTCCCTGTGTTGTCCAGGCTGGACTCTAACTCCTGAGGTCAAGTTATCCTCCCATCTCAGCCTTCCAAGTAGCTGGGACTAGAGGCTTGTGCCACAGCACTCAAGAAAGTTTTTTTAATGCCAAATATAGGATCCAAAGAAGTTCATTTTTTCAAAGAATAGGAATTATGACTTTATATTAATCTCAAGTATATTTCAGTACCATATTTCACAAAATCTAAGATTCTATCAGTTATAAGACACATTATTATTTTATGTACCACTAAGAAAGAAAAAACACTGCTAATAAAACTGTAACAAAGTGCTAAGACATCACTGATGATAGCACACATCCCAATTTCAGAGACATTAAAATATAAAAAAAAAAGTGTGACTTAAAAATACAATATACCTTTTTTCACATTACCTGATAAAATTATGGAAAAATCTTAGCTATGTAATAT